AGAATGGGGGAGGGGGACATGTAGGTGTATACTCTATCTTAAATACTATTATGTCTCGACAGGTAACTTTGGTGATCGTTACTTTGGAACTGAATATTAGCAGAAGCTTCAGTGATTGACACCTGACCCATCGTTCCCGTTCGCAGAAAAACGTCGAGTTTTGCCCTTGCTTTATTTCTATACTATGTGTATATAGCAGATCAAAAGAACTATTTTAAAAGAGTCTTTGTAAAAGACATATTTGTATATTGAAGAAGATAATAAAATGCAAAAGATCAGAACATACGCCATTATATTTATATGAATACAGTAATAACCCTCGACCAAAAAACCTGGAAATTACCAACCTGTTTCCCTAAAATTCTTCCTTAAGACTCACTTTCAGTAGCCAAGAGCTGGTAATTTTGTGTGACTCATTCGTCGTTTCTAGAGAGCAAAATCCTAAGCAATTACTCGWACTTCATTTGGTAAAATTGCTATGATTCTAGTGGAAATTTTTCTGTCCTTCGCAGAGTGTGCGGAAAAAATCATCAACCCACTCCACAAAAATCTAATGTACGACCGGGTGATAAGTTTCTCTATATAAATAAGAAATCATCAGTTTATTAGACCACGCATATGTTCACCTTACGTGCATGCACGTGTTTGTTCAATCTCGTACCCAGAGCCTGCGATACTTTTCGGTCACCGCCGCTGACCAAGAGGAACGACGGCTCTGGGTACGAGATTGGTGTTTGTTGCGAGTACCAACAAGCTCAATGTTGAAACGGTATACCACAGGGATCCCCACATTCTAGAATGATGTCATGTGATTTCCACGGCGTGACTTCAGACATCCCATTTCAGTCAAGGTCATTTGCAAGTTTCGGCCGGTTGTGTTTCTCTACAAGTGTGTCGTAACAAGACATGGAGTTCCGTTTATTTCTTGTTTTCCTGGTCGTTGTGGTTTTACCACCGAGCTATGGTCTTGATGAGTGCGAAGGTATGTTTGTATTATGTTATTATGTTTGAAAACTGTTACGACGTTACGAGAGTGTGACTGACAGTATGTCATCTTGGAGCTCTACTGATGTAAAGTGAAACTATATGTGGTTCTTCAACCTGTGAAACACAATTCGGCGTACAAATAAACTATAATACTGACTTAGCTTAATTTTGTTTGTGTTTTCGTTATGTCGCACATTATTTCACTTTCGCTATYAGCTTTTGTTTCACGGGTTTTATAAAACTACTCTATGTATGTAAACTTCTTTGATATAACGTTAACTATTTGGAAGATTTCCCTATCCAAATTGAGTGAAAACACTGAATTCATACTGAGAACCATGTTTGATCTTTGTGGTCAATCAATACTTCAGGTTTTTTATATGCAGAACACAGACCTTTTTTCCAGTTGAAAAGCGAATGATATTCAAGAAGGATGAAATTTACAACTTTGTGAAAGAATTTTCCTCAAAAATATGTTTATGAAAACGATATTGAAAATAATGTATTTCGATCATTCCCTGGTGTGAAGGAATGCTGACAGAATCTCTGTGGAAAGGATAAGAGTTTTGGGCTGACCTCATAGGGTCATGTAAAACGCAGAGTTATTACATAACTACTCGTTTTTAAAATGGTAATAGTTTTTAATAGTTTTTAATTTCTTTGATCGAATACCAATACGAAGTGCAGCCCAAGTTATCGTTTGTAAATCTGTAGCAACAATGAATAGAAAGCAAATGTAGAGAGTCCTGCAAAAGCTACCACAGGGATCCCATAAACTAGTACGATGTCCAGGGGAGTGTCCAGAGGGTGGTACAATGCCCTTGACATACGAAGTCTTTGTAATAGGAAGCTGCATTTTCGGATAATCCAACAGTTTGTTCGGTGTGAATCCCAAACTCTGAGGTTCGTGCAATTTTGCAGTCAATCGCCCTCTTCACATTCTTTTAAACCGAAAAGAAATTAAAGATCGATATTTGCTAAGTGACATATTATAATTATATATAATATACGGCACAACAGTGCATACCAAACTTTAACCACTTCCCATCCCGCTCCAAAGCCCCTCGCGAGACAACCTGTGTATCAGGCCTTCGAGGAGTCCTGGGGAGATTGGGAGACTGCTACGCAAAGTAGTGAAGGTTGTTTTTTATTCATTTTCAGAAGGGACGGCACTTAAACAAGAGCTAAACGAAGCAGCTTCCAAGGCAGCAAAATGGTTGACTCAATTTCTCGAGAAAAATAAAGCAAAAGACGATTTTCATATCGATTCTGCCGCCTTCCACTCCTTACGCCTGGCTGGCTTTCACCCCAGACATGATACCTTTAGCCTTGGTAAACTATCTCAGGAGGACGGAGGACGGCTTGGACTTCATGTAAACAGAATTGTTGCATCATGTCAAAAACCCAGCAGAAGAAATATAAAACTACTTAGACATTGTACTGAAACTTCCGCAGTGAAATGCGGATTGACGCATTCCTTCCAGTATTTGACCGCCCTGCTGGCTCTTTGTAACAGTGGGCACTCATTTGACGGTAGTGTTAAAAATTCTGCTTTCAAAAGGACAGAGCAAATTATAAACCATTACTCCAAAAAGAGCCTAGATACCCTTGCCATGGCAATGATAACAAGATCATGCATGATACGCCGTATTTGCGGGTCTCAAAAAGATGACACTTGTGCGAATGAGATGGGAAATAAAACTGTCCAGTTATTGCTAAGGAGACAAAACCGTGTGGATGGCAGTTTTGGCGGGAATGGAATAACAACTGCTCTGGTGGTTCAGGTAGGAGTGACGAGCTGAACGCCTCTGAATTCGCAATTTTTTCGTGTTTAAAAATCCTAGTTTTGCGCGTGCTGATATTGATATTATTTAATAAATGTGTTATTAAYGTACTTCCCAAGTTTCCTTGCGACCTAATCTTCTACGTTCTATGATATGATCATTTTATTGACTGTACTGACGTACGTACGCCGTTGATTTAGCTGTGGCTCACCGCTTTTCTATTGCGCTTTTTCCCTCTATCTCAATTTCCTACTTTTTACACAACATCCAGGAACTATTCCCTTAGTGATTTCAGTAACCATATTTACGTTGTACCGTTACATTACATTATTATATAACAATGTACCCTTATATAATTACCATATGCATTATAATTACACTTCATACTAGGCTCTACTTGCTTACAAAGTACCATCCAAGCAATGGCAATGTTCAAAAGTCATGAGATATTTACTAAAACAACAAAGACCAGACGGTTCATTTGGCGGTCTAATGGCGACCATTCAGATTCTCCCAGTAATGAATGGTTCAACTTTATCTGACCATCACAGAATTAAAGAAAGCTGTAATCGTACAGAACAAAATAATACAGGAATTGATAACAAGGTTGATACCAATAAGATTAAAAAGACTAACGATGCAAAGAAACCTATTAACGATGTTGCGATGAAAAAGGTAAGAGGACAATTAGCGCCCATGTTCCAGTCGTAATGCGGACACTCCCCATGTTTTACCCTTCCCTGCCATAGAAACGGCGCTTGCTTTACGTAGGCTGCCAAGCATGCAGCAAAGGAAATTAATTGAAGTTGTTACCATCATGTGAAATACTGAAAACGACTATTTGTGGAAATTTCCAGCAAGTTTCTTTCATTTGCAGTTTCTTTCATCAATGAGTATGATGAAATATCATGCTATGATTCCAAACAAACACAGTCAAAATATCAGGTGTTTTTACAACATGGTTTATTTCTAAGAGGCTAAAAAAGGCGATAAAAGTGTTTTGTCCATAATTATTTTAATTCTAGTGTACGTTTTTAATTTCTTGCAGTATGCAGTATTATATTTAAAAGCTGCTCTATAGAGTCTAATGTCTTTGGTTTAAACTCTTTATCAACGTAATTGCTTACCTATTTTAAAACAAAGTGTTCAAAATGATTGATGTACTATTGTCTCTGATCGAATTATTGTTTCATGTTATTTTCCACTTGTAGAACATCACTGTAAAGCTTGTTGTCAACGTGACAGGAAAGTTTGAGTGTCATTACGATGTTAAAGTAAGAAATGGTTCCTCGGCCCATGATGTTCTCCTGTCTCCAGAGAAGAATTACACTAGTTGCTGTAACAATGATTTATGTGATAGGGAGGTTACGTTCCGAGCCGTTTATACTAGATATGGTCCATATCTGCAAGCGATTTTACGATATGAAGAAAATAAACAGAGAAAGTTATATTGGAGGATGTACACTGATGACGGTACCTTGGCAACGGTTGGTGTGGATAGTTACTTTCCTAGAAACGCAACACGACTGATTTTCAAGTTCGAAACGATTGAATGATTCTTATCTTAATAAGAATCACAATGGATTTTATATTATTTTAGGGTGTTTTATACATAGAGGGTGTCCTTTTGTAGTATGGGTCACAAAACAACCCAACGATACCCTCGGCCGTCTTAACGGGCCAACATCCAATTGCATTTCTTTAACTTAGCTATAGTTTCGCGAGTAGTATGCAAAAAAACAAAACAACAACAACTCTCGCCTATGCCTTGTGAATAACGTTTTTATTACAAAAACCTCTTTTAGTAAGATAACTCGCTCCACACCATTCAGGGAAATACCCCCGGGGAAAATACATAAGACATGAAAAATACCGGTAGGTCTTCACCTCTTTAGGAATGAATTCGCTGATTGGCTGTGTCAGAACAATAAACTTTTGCAAGTCTATTGGATTACATCTTCAGAGGTGAAAGACTACCTAAAATACCAGCTTCCATGGTATTGACAGATATTATAGTGAAGGCTCTCTCGAGATACTTCTGATATAAAAATACGTTTATAAAAATGCTTCTTTGGATTCACTTAGTCAAGTTTTAGAGATGTAAATTGTATGTTGGCGAGGCCAGGGTTAAGCGTCAAAAGCTGTAAAAAGAACTATACTGGTTTTGATTAAAAGACTGAAACGGGTTTTTACCATGCGGCGTTCAATTTATTTTCAGTTCATTGGGCTCATTTTTAAAACTGCCAAAACAAATTTTTACAAGATTCCCCCCTATAGATTTTCTTAACATACGGCTTTCTCATTAGGTTGAAAAAATTCTTCTTGGTGGCCATCCGCAAAAATACACAAATTGAATAGTGAAACCCCTGGAGCGATTTTCGTTAAACATGGCTGAAGTTTAATTCTTGTGGTGACTTAAAGGTTGCTTTCACATTGGTTTTAAATTCCAACTAAATCCCCATAACAAAGCCACAACACAGAAAAGTTTTGTCTAAACGATTTCCAATACAATGAAAACATACAGATTCAGTTTCGTGTGGAAATATCTTTTGTGCTTAATATATAATTAATGTACTTTTTCAATTAGTTTTGTACAGCCAATCAATCTTCCTTTGGAATTCTGATGGATGTTTTTTTCAGCTGTGCTACTAAAAGGAATATTTCACAAAAGCTGAAATTGTAAGAGTCAATAAACGTCGAAACTGAACATGGTAAAAAGCTGTTGAGGATGCAGACGACCTGCCGCTAGTTGACATTTCTCTCGCAAATAAAAAGTTAGTTATGGAAGATGTGAATGTTAAGACTCAACTCTAATCACTCGGCAATGTTGCCTCGCTTATGTCTATATAATGTTCTTCAGTTTTACATTCTAAAGGTCATTATTAGGATGAGTCTTAGTGTTACTATAATTTACGTTGTGAATATAGTTATCCTGTAGTTCGGAGCACGAATTATTTTTGAAAAAAAAAAAAAGACAAAACAAAAACAAAACAAAACAAAACAAAACTGAGTTAAGTATGGCATACTATACTTTGCGCACACTAAACTGTCACTGATCGATGACTGTGTTCGTGGTTAGGCAAGGATCAAGCCTTATAATTGACTGAAGATGCTTCTATATTTACGAAGTGGTTAGGTTGCATGCTGCCCCAAATTGGCATATAGATCGTCTTGAGATTTAACACCTTGTGTACAGAAATAAAAATATATGTAGTAGAATTAATAAGATGTCCACCTAATCACGGTTGTTAATTAAAGAATGGATGAAAATAATGGTACCAGCCGCTACTTACTGAGTTTACGACATGATAGTTGACATCATTTGCAGTGCGCACTATTACGTTTGGCAAACAAATTAAAATTGATTCACAAAAACTGCTTTTAATAAAAAGAAATGTAAATAAAGGAAAAACAATACAAATAAAGAAGAGAAATAAGATATTTGAAATTCGATCGATATTAATTCCTTGTCGCTTGTTTATTTGTATTTGCAGTACTTATAACGCTGAGGTGGTAACTTCACAAACCAACCAAATTACTGAAAATTAAAAAACTTCGTTGATAAATATTTAATTCAAAGCTTGCGCTTAGCTTTTAATAATGACATAAAAATTATGGTAATATTGACTTTTGCAGCATTTGGAATTTTCGTTGATTATTTGTATTCAAAATGGCGTTTATATGTTTTTATCACGACGTTCGTATCACACGACCGCAAAAGCGACGGCGTGACATAATTGCAGGTGTCCGAGGTGTGAGCTTCGGGCTGCATTCTACACTAGACATTCAAATACCATAACATACTGAATGGACTCGAGAAAACGATTTCGTCGGTCCAAATACGACAGACTCGCTTTGTAAGTTTGTTTTTCAACAGAAATTTTCTCTCTCTATCTACATGCAGCTGATCAGCTATTCAGCGCAAAATGTCTGACGCTACTGAAGATAATCCAAACAAATTCCAACCGAAATCCTTGATTCTTAAAGTCGGTATTTTCATAGTTGTATTAGTAGTTGGAGCAGCGATATTTCAAGCCATCGAAAAGCAAGATGTTGTGGATGAAAACAAATCAACCAGCAAAGAAACCTTAACTAATATAACTGTAAAGTATAACATTACAGAACAAGATGTTGCCAAACTTGTTAGCACCATAAAAGAGACTTTAAAACAAAAAGAACTAGCAAGCAAACCTCGTTGGACTTTTAGTAACTCTGTATTTTTATCCTTTTCGATTATGACAACAATTGGTGAGTAAAAACTAGTAATTGTTTTTTGTTATGCACTGAAAACAGACCGGGTTGGTTTGTATTCAATGTTACGGCACCTTGACTGTAAACGTTTCGGTTAGTGCAATGGCGTCTTACTTCTTAAATTCTTTTTTCTCAATTATCTGAAGGAATTTTTCATGCAAAGACTAAAAAGCCTGAGATATAGCTAATAAATTATGCGTCTAGAAAAAAATGTAATCATCTTGCTCAGTTTTGCTCGTGTTATTCGTGATATGAAAGTATTTCATGAAAAACTATTATTATAACTATAAATCTAAAGTGTGAAGATTGTTCAAAAAATAGCATTTCTGATGATTTTATTATTGTGATTATGCTTTCACCAACAAGCTGTGTTCCAAGCAGGTACTTTGGATACAAAATATTGATGAATTTTCCATTTATGCGGGTTTTCGAGAATTCCGTAATGTTTTTAAGGCACTGAAATTATGAAAAAATATACTATATATATATAACTGGCGATTCAAGGCGTGAATTAGGTGTGCCGGGATGACCTCAGCTTGTAAATGTGAAGTGTTGTCTCGCAGTCATTTTATGAACGCTTGGTTATCTACTCCATGAGTCATTTACCACAAAACAAAAATATTCATAACTATATTTTCTCAGTCGAAAAAGTCAAAATAACATTTGGATTTCCCTTGAAATTCAACGTCTTATTAGGCGCCAATATTTGGCCATCTTTTATCGGATGTGTGATGAAAACACTACAAATTCAGACGCTCAATTTTAATTAACATCTCCTTATAGTACGGTCTGCACGTGTGAGATTCGACGTTTGAAACGGACGGACCTTAGAATGTACCGCATTTCGCACGAATTATGACAACTTCTGAATATTACAAAAGGAGCGCATTTTTATTCAACCACTATCATATTTAACCATTATTATTAAATTATTATTAACTATATGATTAAACTTATCATTTTAGACATGGACTTGATCGTAACTTTCCTATGAATTATTTCAGGTTATGGTCATTTAACTCCCAAGACAAGTTCTGGTCAAATCTTCTGTATTGTTTTCAGCCTTGTAGCTATCCCAATCACTGGTATTATGCTAATAAGCGTTGGATCACACGTTTCATTAGCGCTGCAACTCTTCATCACACTTGTTGAGAAAAAAATAATGCGTAGAGAAGTTCAGATGAACACAGAAGTTAAAAGTGCTGTGGTCACGTTCGTGTTTATGATCCTCATTATCATTTTTGGCGCCCTTTTGACGAGACACACGGATGGTTGGACATTCGTTGAAGGCATGTACTTCACATTTATTAGCTTGTCGACCATTGGTTTTGGTGATTATGTCATCAACAAAGGCGAATTGAATGATCGTGATCAAAAGAAAGCCGTTGCCGTGAATTTCACCATTGTTCTCATCACCATTGGTCTATGCGTTGTGTCCAGCGTACTCTGCTCCGTTAGTTCTGTCATTGAAGAGAAACAGAGGCGCATGCGCGAGCAGCTCCACCTCTCGAGCGCAGCAGCACCTGGCCGAATGGCTTTATCAGCAGTTAACAAACTCAGCAAGGTTGGMAAGTCTAATTCGACTGAGAAAGATACACTGACAAATGAAGATAAGATCTGATTGACAATGGGATCTAAAATCCGATCAATTTACCGTCCGGTTCAAGAAAGGTTAACGCCCCTTATAGTTAACAATATTACAGAGAATTCAAAACGTTATCTATGACTTATTTTTCAAAAAATTGCCTTAACATTTATTGGATACCACGAGAATGCTTTCTGTAAATCCGTGAAATACCACATGCTTTACATTTTTACGTTACACTTTTGACGATATTGTGTATACTGTTATTGCCAAAAAATAACTATTACAATTTACTATATCTTATAAATCCTCGCATGAGGAAGTGGCTGATCCCATTAAAGAGTGCTCAATACACATAAAGTGTAGAGCTAGTTATATATATGATATCAAAGAGGCAAGATTTTGCTGTAACTCCGAGTTACAGCAAAATCTTGCCTCTTTGTACTTTGATATCATATATATCTTATAAATCATTATTAAATACACCTAGTTTCACGGTTTAAAAATACCTTTCTAGGTTTTATCATTTTTAGTAAATTACTAAAGACTTGCCACAACTGGGACGCTCATCGAGTTCGTAGCGCGAGCCTGATTCTTGTGCCGAGGTCTCTAGGAGTGAAAGTCTAAATTTCTAATGCATCATTCATGATGACCTATTTCATGGTGACCTATTGACTATAAAATGTGATTCATCGTTTAAACTGATGCAGAGACACTAAGTCTATACAAGCCGTTCACTGACGTTCAGAGTCTTCTAAAATACTTGACTACACTAGTTGATTCTAAAAAAAAACGCACGTCCCTATAGCTAAAATAATGCTCAACTAAAATCAGTCGGAAGTGTGTTTTATAATTACGTGGCCTCTTCTACAGAGACTATCAGTGAAAAAAGGAAAAAGAACAAAATTAATTAAAAATTTATAAAGTGTGATTATTAATCGTACTTGAGAGCAAATGGCATGTCAATGTTTGAATTATTTCTGATTTGTAGTAAACTACAGGGACCGCGGAGCGTGAATTTGTTTTGGGGGGGCTAGCGGTGTGGAGGTACTAGGGGGGCTCGGAAATTTTTGAAATCTTAACTCTCGGAAATGTCAAAGACATTTTTACACACACGGTCAGCGATATTATCAATAAATCCCAAAGACTTCGCAAAAAAAGCTTCAATTTTAATTGTTCACGCTCAGTTTTTACACAATCTTTATAGAATATATATGCCATATGGTGAAATTTCATAAGGAGGGTCTTCGCTTCTTTATTTGAGAAAATTCAAAATGTAGGGAAAAACCAACTKATGGCACAGTACGGCCATAGTGTAGTTTACATTACAGAATTCAAAACATACCGTATATACAAATTCCATTTATCAAGAAAAGTTAGGAAAGCACTCGCTATTAAATAACTTACTTAAAATCATTTCTAGAATTCAAATAAAAATATTGGACCAGTTTGCTTCTTGTATTCTTTTTTTTTACAACTTGTATTGCCGGGGATGACAGCATTACGGAACAGGAAGCCCGAATTCTATGACAGTTGCATAGGCAGCACCATAAAATCCATTAAAAGTCCTACATTYTCAATGTATCGAAATACGTGATAAAATACGGACCGAACTAGCATTGCAAAGAAACTATTAAACATATTAAAGCTAAAAATACAGATTTCGAAGATCAAGGTTAAAACTGTCTGGGGTAGAATTTCACTGAAGTTTTTTGAACAGAAAAGTCCATCTTGTCTTGCTCAAACTTTTTCATGTAAGTGGTCAATACGAGAAAAACAAAACTCCACAGGTTAAATTACACTCTTCTAAAGAAAAGAGTATAAATATATATAATTTTTAAAGGTATCTCAAGATTTGGGGGTATAGCTCAGTGGTAGAGCATTCGACTGCAGATCGAGAGGTCACCGGTTCAATCCCGGTTGCCCCCTGTCTACTTTTTTTTCCTTTTTATTCTCTTTTTTTTTCACTGCTTTTCTATTTCTTTTAGAATGAAAACACCTATAGTAAAAACTACGAAGAAATTTTAGTAGCCTAAATTCCCCAATTCATTATTCGATTTTTTTCATTGAAAATAGACAATATATACAAGATCTAAAAACACAAGTGTTGGTATATCACAAAAGATAAAATTAAATTACAAAATACAAAATTAAATGTTAAAAATATTCTTATAGTTTGGTTTTAAAACTATTTTTAGCATTTTTAAAAAAGATACGGACAATTATCACTTTTTGTCAGTCCTTAAAAATTGGGGTTCCTGTGTAATTTACTACTTAGTAGTCTGGTAAGGAGGGGATTATCACTCGCATCGGATAAGTGACTTCCATAAGTTTTTCGGGTGGATTCCATTGTTGAGTAATAATCATTAAAGAAAAATTTTCAATCCTGGCTCCGAGGAAAGCTGTTTTAGTGTATTGTTCACCATCTTCCTCGCGAACAAGTGAAAGGAACCTAAAGAAAGAAAGAAAATAAAAATAATATTCGCATGAAATTTTTAATTTCCCCCAAAAAATTTAACACACTGTCCACAACGAACGAAAAAATTAGCAGCCCCCCCAAGCAAAAATAAAAAACATTTCCATCCCCCCCCCCCAAAAAAAGATTCAAATGACGATGATGACACTGATGATGATGATGAAGTTGATGATGATATTAATGATGATTAAAATGATAACAATGATTTTCTGTATATTAAAAGTAGTTGGTTTTTACCATGTTCTCTATAAACTAATTTAACAAATAAATAAGGCTCAGTCGTGGTTTATACTCTGATAAACGCACACTTGGTGTTTGAAACACACGGGAAAATGTCAAGAAGCACGAGCTGAAAGCGTTTATCAGAGTATAAACCACAGGTTGAGACTTATTTATTTGTTTTATTATCTAGATTTTGAGCAAAACTTAAGCAAAAATCCATTTTGTTGCCTTTTTGTAAAAGCGCTCGCGCACAATCGTGGTTTATACTCTCGTAAACCACACTTTTTTT